TGATCTTTTAAGGTGAAAGTTTATTCAATGTTTTTGAAGTTTTTTCTTAATACTAAGCCAAAAAAACAAACTATATAATTAGTTCAAAAAATAAAAGTAAGCCCAATACTATATTTCATAAATAACCACTGGTTTAATTTAAGTATAATTAGTAGATTTCCATATTCCATATTCCATATTTTGATGATATATATTTTTTTAGAACATTCCATATTTGTAGGAGAAAATATGTGTTTTTGGTATACATATAGATACCTGCCGTATTTTGAAGGTAGTTTACATTAAGGTCGTCTCTTTACATTAATTGTGTTGGTTTTATTTAAGTAATATGGTTCAATCAATTATATGACTTATATTATTTATAACATTCTAGAAAGAGTCCAAATTTAAATGACAACTTCTATCAGTTGATAAAAAGAATGACTCTATTTTAATAGAATAGATGGTTTTAATGTCGAGACAAACCGGTTTTGTCGAACCAAAAAACAATTAAGTCCAAATAAAACCGGTTTTATCCGAACAATTTAAAACTCAGCCCAGCGACAAGCTGGGACTTCTGGTATTTGGATCTATTCCAGGTAGGACCGTTCAGTTCCGGGTAATTCGATTATTTAAAAACTATAAAATACTTGGTTGATTTACGGTTCGGTTTTCGGATAGGTACCAACCGATTCGAGGTCAGTTATACAACTTTAAGGATAAGGGTTTATGTCGGGACAGACCAGTATTGAACAATAGGTACTTATGAGATTTTCATTCGGTTATGGGTTTACAGATATAGGTTTTAATTAGGCATTCGGATATTCGGTTTGGTTTCGAGTATATCGGATAAATCATTCTTATACCCAATAGGTACTTATGAGATTTTGGTTCGCTTCTAGTTCGGTTTCGTTCGATTCCGACTATTCGTTTAATATACAAATCAAATATATATATATACATAATATATTAATTAATATGTTAATTTAACTGGTCTAGTGTTTACATACTTACATATTCATGAATCTAACAAGAGTTCGAATCAATAAAGTGTTAATTTTATAAATATTTATCATATTTTAATATAGAAATATTATATATATTTATAACATAAGAGAATAAATAAAACATAATGTGGTCTGGTGGTAAAAATGTACTTACTCTTTCTATCTAATATGAGTTCAAGTGGACTTGATGTTATTTTATTTTATATTAAAAAACTTTAATTTGTTTTTCGAATATTCGGGTACCCGTTCGATTCTCGCTTCGGTTCCGGTTCTGGTTCGTTTTTTTTTTGGTATAGAAATATAAGTACCATTCGGATATTTAAGAATTTCGGTCTGGTTTCAATTTCAGGTATTTCGATTCGGTTCCGGTTCGATTTTTCGGTTCAGTGTTTTTGCCCAGGGCTAGTTTTAATGTCGAGAGAGAGAGAGCGGTTTTGTCAAACCAAAAAAACAAAAATTAAATTCTAAATGAAACCGGTTTTATCCGAACCAATTAAAATCAAAATCAAATCAAACCGAAAATCAAAACCGGTTGTTGTGACAACCAACTCCATTTTTTTTTCATCTTCTCATATCTACCTTTCGTCGGCTAAAGAGAGAGAGATAGATAGATGAGTAACGTTGTCATCGTCCTCGCTACCTACGATTATCTGATCTTCCAAGGTTCTTTTTATTTTTCCTCACTTTCCCACTTTGCGTTCTTCTCTTTCACTTTTATTCTTTGATCTTTATTCCTTTTTGAATTGAGATTTGTTGAATTGAGATCTATATTTCAATTCGACTAAATTTTAGGAAATGTCAATAGATCAGATCGGATTCATGGTTCGACTCTCGAGGAGTTTTTTCGATCTTATGTTTTCGAAACAAAGTCTCGAATTCAATTAGTTCAAATGTCTTTCTGAATTTAACGATCTCTGTATTTAATTGGCCGATCTTGAGTTTAATTGGACAAAGTCGTTTCGAATTTGAGACTCTTGTCATGTCTACGATTCGTTTTCATGGTTGGACTTGAACGAAATTAGTTTTTTTTTTTTTTAATAATTGTGACAAGATTAGTGGTTAAAACGTTTTGGTGTTCTGTTTTGCTTCAGGTTTTTTTTTTATATAGCATTGATTGATTAGATTAGAATCACTCATATTTATTAGAGAATTGATTGCTCTTTTCAGTTGATTTTTTTCCTATTTAACAAGATCTAGAGGAATCAGTGGAGTCTTGTGAAGGGTTTTTGATTAAACGCTCTTCTTGTTTGCTTTAGGGAATTAGCAAGAAAGATAGGGAAGAATGATTGTATGTTCTGTTTGCTTCGGTTTATTAGAGAATTAACACAGTTGTTTGGTCTTTTTTTTTTGATTAAACGTTTTTGTTGACGTTTGTATTTTCTGCTTGCTTCGTTTTTCTTTTCTTATACCATTGAAGGATTAGAATCTTTCAGATTTATTAGAGAATTAACACAATTGATTGGTTTTAAAAGTTTGTTGATTTTTTTCCCTATTTAACAAGATCTTGAGGATTCATTGGATTCTTGTTTAGTATATAAGAAACGTTTTTGATTAAACGTTCTTTGTTGTTTGCTTGCTTTAGGGTATTAGCAAGAGAGATAGTATGGAAGAAGGGTACGAGTGTCGTCGAGTGAGTAGATGGGAAGAGTTAGACACTGACATCTTAGTCAGGATCTTCCAGAAGTTCAGCATCTTTGAGTTAACTTCGGGGTTAGCTCACGTCTGTAGCGGATGGAGAGCCGCTTGTTGCGATCCCATCTTGTGGAAGACTCTTGATTTGTCACACATGAGATCTAGCTTCATCAAGATCCCCTTAGAGCCTTATGTCTACGTGGAACGTCGCTCTGATGAGGCCCTGACCCGGATACTGAAACTCTCCATGAATCTTAGTGGTGGCAACACGAGGACTTTGGTTTTCCATTTCAACTTGTTCTTGAGTGATGATCAGCTCACTTACACCGCAGAGAGGTAACGTCTTACTTGAGTCTAAAGATTCACGTTTACTTAATTTGAAATCTTTTGTATCCAATCTTTACAGGTGTCCAGGGTTGAGACGTGTGGTGCTTCCAGCTTGGAACAGAATCAAGAAGACTGGTATATGCAAAGCCATAAGGATCTGGAAAGATCTCGAGTCACTAACAATGCCAAGCATCGCTAACCCGCCTTACCTCTTAACAGAGATCGCCAAGAACTGCAGTAACTTCAAGGAGCTCAAGATCATGGGACCATTCGAGATCTTCTTTGCAAACACTCTCATCACTCACCTCCCTAACCTCAAAACACTCAGCCTTAGATGCTCTGCGATCAAGCGAGAGGCACTGATAAAGATCCTCGACGGTTTACCTGATCTTGAAGTGCTCAACATATCTCACTCTTACCTAGTGGAATACAGTGTGTGGCAGCCGCAGCAGAAAGTGATTGTTAGGGAGCTTGATGAGACGATACTTGAGAAGGCTTCTAGGCTGAAGAGGTTCTTGACTTGTATGGAGCATGAGACTTGTGTGATGTGTCAGAGGACTGAGAATGATGAAGGGATTGTGAGATGGTATAAGTATGAAGAAGGAGAGTGGAAAGTTGATGAAGTGAGCTCTCTTCATCTTTGATTTGGTATCTGACTGAATACATTTCCATCTTTTACTGTTTGTGTGTTTATTTTTTGTTTTGTTGTTTTTGGTTTTTGAACGTTTATTGTGTGTATATAAATGTAGGCAATGCCCAAAAAGTTTGTATTTAGTGATCAATGCTAGATCACCAACCTTGACATGAGTAGGAAATAAAATAAAAGTAAACAATTTCATATACTCCCTCCGTTTTATATTAATTGTCGTTTTAAAGAATTTTTTTCGTTACAAAATAAATGTTGTTTTCGGTTTTTAGTGCAAAATTTATTAATTTTATTTTGCAGGCTATTTT